CTAAGAGAGGAGATTCCACGGGCCTCGCCCACCAAGCCAGACCCGCAGAGTCAAGGCAGCCCCGCTGCTTTGTCATTTACAAGAGGGACTCGGGCTAGCACTTGGTAATTTGGTGTCGGTTTACCAGGCAAGGGACTTCTGTTTCCTCACCTAACAGGTCCTCAACTCATGGCCTGACTCCTTTTTAGAGAGGAACCCGGAGAAAGGAACTGGACTCCCTGCTCCCTCGCCTTTCGGTCGAGCTTTCGAGGCTTTCGGCGGCCGGGCCGTTGGTCGATCAACCAACGAACGTTCATTGAACAGTTCCTACTAGGTGAAGACTACACGGAGGAAGGCCACTCTTCCCATCTGGCAGATGAGACAACTGATGCGCAGAAATAGAATTGACCGAGATCACGTGGTCAGTGGACCACGTCTACAGCCCAGGCTCTCTGACTCCTTTTGCTTCTGCATATTTAAATAAGCTTGTGCAACCTTAGATTCATTCCTTTTTCATTTCCCCAGAAAAATGGAGATAATTTCTTGTTTAATATCGGAGTTCCTCAGACTTCCTGAAGTTCACCCCAAGATAAAAACATCACTTTCCCCACTCCCTTCCCACATACCTCACTTCTAAGCGATTGTTGGAATTGTGATACTCAGGGGGCCATTCGGGGCCAGGGAATGGAGTGTAATTCAACTGGATCGCGATTACAGCTGCAGGCCTCCCAGTGGCAGATGGAGTGCCGGGAAGGTGGTAGGACAGGTGGGGGGTGGGGTGGAGGGGGACAAGCGGAGTTGGGCTGGGAAGTATGGAGGAAGCAGTAGGGGCTGTCTTGTCGGTTTCTGCTAAGGGTGGAGGAGTGCTGAGAAGGGAGCGGCTCTGGGCCCACCCACCTGAAATCTGCGGGCCCAATCCCCTTGGCAAGCGGGAGAACGCCGCCTTCCCCACGTCCCGGCAGGAGAGGCCGGTCCAGGCGACCCACGTTCTCGGGACCTTGCTTTCTCGGTTTGCTCCGAGTCCCAGGAGCCGGCACCACTGTCCTCGGGTCCTACTACCTCCCCCACCCCCAGCCCCCATCTCCTGCTCTAGTTTTGCCCGCATGGTTTACTGTACACAAATCCCTCTTGTTTCCTCCTTTGTAGCAGCTTTTCCAACTCCAACTAGTTCAAGGGCTGTCTGTCTGGTTTATTTTCTGTTTAGGAAATTGCCACTCAGTGCCCCTTTGCCCTCCTGTTCCTTCCCGGCTCCCCTTCCCCTCAATCTATTACCCCACATTAGCCAACCTACTTTCTTGATTTTGTTTCTTAATATTCAGAATAACTAGTGAAGGGCTAATGATTTCATATCTTCCCCCGCAAAAGCAATAAATGAAATAAAAGCCCAGGGTGACAACCGCGCGCACACGCGGCCAGCCCTGGTGGAGGTTTGTCGTTCACTTTCACGTCGCAGGGGAGAAGCACTGAAATGCGTGTTTGCAAAAGCAGAAATGTAGCTAGGAAGAACAGACGCAGAATAGTTGATACAAACGTGTTGTGTCCTGTTACAGGAGGGTTGCTCATAACGCCAGGTACAAAAATCAGACGGGGAGCCAGGGAATAAAATAAAAAAACGGGGACCCATTGTGAGTCTTTGTGGTTGGGAGCGAAGTTTCTGAGACTTCAGAGAAGAGGCCGACCAGTCCATTGCTCTCCCAGCGACCACTGCGTGACGCAGGGCTCCTCTTTGAACCTCAGTGTCCTCTTTGGGGGAAAATGGGGAAAATAACACATTTCTGCTGTGGTTGAGAATCCAAACGCTCTAACGTAGGTGAACAAATGCACCTCGACGAGTGTAAGTAACTACGAAAACGGTAATAAAAATCATTGGTGTTATTAGTGGGGCCAAGCGAGAGGCACGAAAGGCCTGCGTGACGCTTTGTCTCGTGTCTGAGCGTGCACGGCTCCCAATTTACCCTCTGAGACGCCCAGAGCAACTGAGCAGCCTACTGCAATAATTAGGACTGTTTCTGTGCTTCCTTCGCTGGACACCGCGAGAGGCTCCGGGGAGAAGCACCCGCACGAAGGGAAATCCCAGTGTCTGGTTACCAGGAAAGAGCTTTGCAACTCTGCCAAAGGCTTGAGAATACCTGCCCGTCCCGCTGGCCGATCTCGTTACTTTCACAGTAATCCCTAAACTGCCCCCTTTCCACTGCTCAGAACTTGGTTAACTTCTTTCCATGGGCTCTGAGAAAAGAGACGTTAGAACCAGTTCAGCAATTTCCTTCTTTTAACACATATTTATCGCAGGCCTACTATGTGCTCAGTGCAATGGCACTCAATTTCCCAATCTCTCCTAAACCGATCCTGAGAGGCACTGATTATTTAAAGGTGTTACTAGAAATGCGTCTAAGTGATTTTAAATTCATTTCAAGAAATAAAATGTAACGTTGAAATAGGGGACTAATTCAACCTGTTGAAAACTTAACTTATTAAACATTTGCGTAAGGGATTTTTGAGACGGTAGAAAGTCTTTCTCTTTATAAATGCACTCATGCACACTAAAAAAGTCATCCTTAAAAAAAACCAGCTTCGTTTAAAAACATGCTTAGAGTGAATATATTGCACCTAAATCTCTTAATGGCATGTATTTCCGTCCCCCCCCCCGCCCCATCAACTAACAGTAATTGACATCGGACAAAAATGTTAGTGACGTGGGTGACTTGGCGACCTGCCTGCCTCGCGGGTTTGATGAAAGTTAACGAGGAACTACTTTGCACTTCAAGGATGAGCGGCACTAGGCACAAAAATATCTACAGATCATTTGTCCGTCAACCCGGCACTGTGGTGGTGCAAGGTAACCACTGATTTAGTCTTGCAGGAGAAAGTAGGATGCCGCTGTGCCCCCGATCAGAGAGGCCCCACTTCCGCGCCCAATTTTGGGTTATTGAGTCGCGGAAATACTGGAGATGCTGATAACGTAGAGACCACCACCAATCTTTCTGACCGCTGCCTTGACTATTACCTTCTCTTGTGAACAACGCGATTCGTAAGAGTGTGTTTCTGCTTGTTTCCTATAGTCCGCGAGATAAATGGCGACTTCACCCCAGCAGACGCTGTCACACTTCGGGTTTAACGTAGGGACAGACGACCCCGCTGCACCGAACGCAGCGCGGGACGATTTTCGGGAGGAGCGCGGAAGGGAGGGGCGCGACGGCCGCGAGGGGGCGGAGAGCGCCAGCCCGGCGCGCCTCGGCCAATCAGCGTGCACACCGCCTGACAACCGTCCAATTAGAGGGCGCGGAGCTCGGGGCCCCGAGCCGATAATACTAGGAAAGGGAGCAGAGGCTGACTATTGCAGCAAGGGGCGCTGCGCCGCACGCCACTGCGCGCGCCCGCCCGCCCGCCCATCCCCGAGAGCCCGAGATCTGAGCCAGGCCAGGGCGGCCCTACCTTCCCGCCCAGACTGGGTCCGAGGAAGCCGAAAGCAGCTTCAGCGAGGTGAAGCGCTCGGGGCTGCTAAGGACCGATTAGAACTTTGCAGAGTCCGGGATGTGCGGGGCGAGGCCGCTGAGAACTTGATTCATCTTCTCCACCCTTCTCCCCTACTCCCCATCCACTGGGCTCCAGGCCTCCAGCTGTCAGCCCCCGATTTCGTGGCAGGGTGTGGCGACCCCGATTTCTTTTTGCAAGCACAGCCAGCAGCCTAAGAGCCAGGTCCCAAGGCTGGATATCTTTTTGCCTCGGCTGCTAGCCTGGGCCTCAGAGTCTTGGTGAGTGCTGTGATATTGTTCCGGGTGTCAGGGAGGGCAAAAATCACCTTTTCTTTTCTATTTTACTTGCATGCCTTGCCTTTAAGTGCAAACCCTGCCCGATGTATACGGAGACCGTGCAGCTCAGCCCTGCGCGGCTCAAGCACTATTGAGGCTGGAAGGACATCTGCAGCTCCATGCTCAGTGTCCTTACGGGGCTCTGACAGGAGAAAAATTTTGATTTTCAGTTGATTATTTGCTGGGGGTGGGGGGCATGAAAGGACCTTTCCAAGCTCCAAAAGGGGTCCTTGTGGTGGTGTAAGAGGATGAAAGGCACTTGAAAGGCGTAGGATGGTACTTTGCTGGGTCTGAAGGGCCCCTGTGATCTAAAGGAAAATGACTCTCCCATCGACGTTTTCCTATTCATCATGGCCATACTAATTAGGTGTGGGGAAGCCTGACAAGTAGCCTAGGCCGGCCTAGTTGGACACAATACTTTTGTGTGTGTGAGCAGTGCGTTACCTAGGGACTTGTCCCAAAAGCGGGTGTAAAGCCAGAGAGGTCTGTGGTTAAAGGTCAGGTGCTCATAGAGCACTTAGAATCAATAGATAAAAACCTTGTTGGGTTGGGGATTTCTGGGGACCCTAAAGATACAAGAAAGGCGCTGTGGTGTAGATGTGAGGGACGTGTAGAGACAGGGCTCCTCAAGGGGCCAGGGGCGATAGACCAGGAGCTTGGGGGCCGGGGGTCGATGCCTGACGGCGGTGGGTGCGCCTTCGGGTCTTTTCGTGTCTCCGCAGAGCGCAGGAGACTGAGCGTAGGCCGGAGCGAAGCGCAGTGCGCCATGGCAGGCCGGCCGGCAGCGGGCCCGGCAGCCGGAGACTGGGAGATCGACGTGGAGAGCCTGGAGCTGGAGGAGGACGGCCGCGGGCCGCCGCCGCCTACGCCGCCCGGGCCCAGCCCGCCG